CTTTTTTACTACAATAAAAAGCTCTCACATAAAATCACATCTCAACTCGAATTAAAAACTCGAATCAACGAACTAAATGAGCCTTAAATGAAAAAGCATCGAACAACAAAACGGTAATTACACAACAAAGAAGGCAAAATTAGAAAAATATTATTCATAATACTGTAACGTAAACAGTAAATTTGTTTCTTTCTTTTAATATATGTATAAATTGACTAACTTTATTGAACAATAAATAAAAGAATAAGGACTCGTTTAGTTGAAGAATCCGGATCACATAATCAGAGTCAAATGTAAGAATCCATGTTTGGATCCACCAAATTGTCCGGTTGATTTGAATTAAGGTCTGAGTCATGTGGGTCTTGATTCGGAATCAACCCCCCTTGATTCAGCCCAACTACAATCAGGCTTACAGTACACAAACAGTGGAATAGTTGTGTGGGTGATGACAGCTAGAAAGCGTACGACCTTTTTTTTCCCCTTGTTTATATATACTTCTCATTGTTACGCCCATGTGTTTGTAGGATTTGTTTTTAAAATATATATATATATATATAATTAATCATTTTTATTTTAATATGACACGTTAAAATTAAAAAAATTATAGTTAGCTTGTTATAATTTTGAGTTATAATTATTTGTATAATTTTTTTTAGTACTTCATTTTTTTAATTATATCACGAATTATATTTATTATATAATTTTTTAAATTACATTTATTTTGGTCATGATTCAAATTCAAAAAAGAAGACAATTAAACACTGGTTCGAATCACATTTCATGTTAGAATCAGAATCATGCATATACACATTCAAATGAAAGTTCTAATCACTCTGAATAATCATGAATTATAATTCTATATCAAATTACTCAAATCACTTTAATTTGAATTATTATACCAAATGGACCCTAATTTACCGAGGATTTCTAGAATTTAATATTATTTTACTCATGGGAAACCTCGTTGAAGAGGACGCTGAATAGGCAAGCATAAGCATTCCATAGTGCTGTCCACGTGTCATGACGCTATTCAACTGCATTCAGAAAATAAGTCAGAAAACACTCTGAAGCAACTTTTTCTACCAAAGCAGATGGATTTTTTTTTTTTTAATAATCAAAAGCAGATGGATGTTGATTTCAACAAAAAGTGGATGTCACTGTTTTCACTAAATGTCCACTTCTTACTTCTTATGATTCATTTATGACCGTTCCTAAAATTACGTTCACATCTCTGTCCCGTTTCATTCACTTATACATATTATATATATTATATATTATATATACACATATAAAATTATATCTTAATTTAAATTAAAATTTTAAATTAATAAATTAAATGGATCTAAAAAATAAAAAAAAATTTGTAATAGCTGATAAAAAAATCTCTCCAAAATTTTTTTGAAAATAAAAAGTGACAAAGTTGTAATAAAAAGTAAGAAAAGTGATTTATGATTATGCTTTATTTTTATTGGGAACCGAGATGACAAAGTTGTAATAAAAAGTAAGAAAAGTGGTTTATGATTATGCTTTATTTTTATTGGGAAACGAAATGACATGTGGAAAGATAATAAGTTAGAGCATAATAAAAAAAAGTGACAAAAAGATTAATCTTAGTATTTTTTTAAAAAAAAGAAATGGTGTGTATTGAGAAAGGAACTAAAGGACAGATAGGTTGTAAACTAATATTTTATTGTGTCCTTAGTTAATTATCGGGAGATTTTTTAAGATGTTAGCGTTAAATTTTTTTAATTATTAGATTTATATATTTTTTAATTTTAACATGTTTTTATGTAATTTTAACAGAAAAAAATTTAACATATTTATATGTTAGTGTACTAAAAAATATTCCTTAATTAATTAATTAATTAATTAATTAAAGAAAAAATCAAGTAGTTAAAAAAAAACAAAGGAAAATATTGAGCGAGATAACTAGGCAACCAACATTGATTATGTTGATTAAAAAAAAAACCTAGGCAAACAACATTGATAAAAAAAAAAAGGGAGTGTCTTTAATAGGCCGTTCTATTGGTAAGATTAGTTTTTTAACTGTTAAATCTGATTAAAATCAAATGAGATTATAAAAATATGTAAACTAAATAGTTTTTGATACAAATATAATTTTTAATACATATTTGACAACTAAAAACATCTAAAAATAAAAGTATCAGTAGTTCTATTTATTTAGTCTTATAAGAGAAACTCCAAAAAAAAAAAAAAAAACTAGGCAAACAACATTGATAAGAAAAAAAGAAATTGTCTCCGTAAGTTGTGATACTGATAGGATTAATTTTTTAATAAATAAATTTGATTAAAATTAAATGAGATTGTAAAAATAGAACTAGATTTGATAAAAATAGGCAAACAAATGATTATGTGGAACAGTACTAGGTACAACCTAGCTCAGTCTGCGATGTTCATGATTATTATTGTACTTCAAAGTGGTCCAAACAGTTTTGAGCAACATGATTGACGTAACATTAGGATCAAATTTCATATAATTGGGCTCTGGAATTAGAAACATGATCGATTATGACTGATAAACCTCATTGTTCAGATTTCATATTTCAACATGACTGATAATTATATCTCATAATTACGATGTTTGTGATTAGAGACGACTGATATCAGATTTTTCCACTCTTTCTCCATAAAAAAAAAAAAAAAGAAAGAATGTAAAAGATAAAGGATCACTCACCGTCTAAGACTCTAAATTTTATAAAAGAACAGAGCAACATTATTCAAAATCAAAATGAAAAAAAAAAACTATTATTTGGAATATATCACATTTACATCACCTATCTCATTAAGTAGACGTTTGATTCATAGATTTAGAATCATGATTCAGAATTATTTTTAATTTATGTGCATTTTTATGAAAGAAAATACTGCAATAAATCACGAATCATAATTTAAATTATAGTACGAACCTACCAACCAAACGCAACTTAAAATAGTTTCATGGATAGATGGATTTGAACGGATTTTTCAATACTTTTATATAGTTAAGGGGGCAATAACCATTTATTTTTAAGAGTGTATGAGTTTGAACCTTCACCGTTATTCTTGATAAATACCCTTTTACACTACAAGAAATAAGGTTGTTAATGACGACTAAAAGTCCTTATAAAAAATACAAAGTCGTCGCAAATATATTTTTTGAGACTACTTGTCATTGCAAACATATCGCCGCAATTGAATTGTTGCAAAGAAATTTTTTGGGACGACAAGCCATTGTCGTAATTACATTTGCAACAACAATCATCGTAAATGAGTCGATGCAATTATTTCGTCGGTTGCATCGTCAAGATGACATGTCATTAAGTATTTACGACAACAATTTGTGAATTAAGTTGTCGCAAAAAACGTTGAATTAGCTAACATGGCATAAATGTTTTGCGACCACATTTGTCGTCATAAATGGTATTTTAATTTTTTATTTATTTTTTCTCATTTTAATAATTAATGTTGTATATTACTATATATTTAAACCTAATATTAAATATAATTCATGATAATATAATAATAAAGAATAATTAATTAAAAGAAAATAAATAATATAAAAATATAAATAAAAATTATTATAATAGAAAGTAATTAATAAAATAAAATAAAAATGAGGCTCCACAGAGTTTCCTGTTTTCCTGGGTGATTTGGCCTTCAATGCGTGATCCTTGTTTCCCTTTTACGTGATATTTCTTTTACAGATTCACCTTCTCGTTGATTGGTCAAATGCCGTTTGATGTCCATTACAAGTTGATTCTTATTCCTTATTACGTAGCTGCTGAGAATTTAGTTTTCTTATGTGGAGGGTAATTAATCTCGCTTAGAGAGCTTATTACTTGTTTGCCCAAATCAACCGTTGATCTCTTTTCTCATTGATTCTTCTAGTTTGATTGGCTGATTTCTTTCCTTTTGGGGATGGATTCATTGCCAATTCCTTTCTAAGGAATGTCTTAAGGATATTCTCTCGTTTCTTGGTGCCTAAGGCTGAGTATTGACTCGTGGAATCGATCGGTGAAGTTGACTGATCAATGAGTCGTTTTAACCTGTCTGAAGAGTTGTGGTGACTCGTTTAGTAACCTTCCGAAGCTTAAGTGGCTACGTGTACTGTGAGAGATACAAAATCAACAACATTTACTCTAAAAAATTTTCTCACTCATCGTAGTTCCCTGATTGTAAAATTGATTGATATTTAAACAGTACATAGTATTAATTACTTGGTGGTTTAAAATTAATTTTATTTAACTTTTTAATGCCTCCAAAAATAGTCGCGTTTCACGTGCATAAAGTTTCTTATTGTGGGCCGATACAAATGAACATTATTATTTCACATGCCAAGTCCACATATTTTGAGACGGAATACATAATGAACATTATTATTTCAGGCATGAAATGATTGAGTGCAAGTTCTTTCTATTTTTCTGTCGGAGAGGGACCAGCTAAAGTTAAACAATAATAGTGAAAGAAAATATTCTTATTCATCAGCTGCAGCTAAATATTTCCAACCTCAACCAAATTTACATATTCATTTTGTTTTTTCAACCATTAAAGAACAGAATTAAAAATAATAATAAAAATAAATAAATAAATAAAATGTTTCTAATTATCTTCATTCTTTCCATATAATTAAGGGTTAACTTGATAAGGACGGAAATGTGGAAGGATGAATAGGATTGGAATTCAGAGGAGTATTAAAAAAAATGAAAGATTGTAATTTTTTTTTTAAAAGTTGTTTGATATGATAGAAATAAATAATGATAACTTTTCAGTTATGGTGTTTTTAATAATAGAAAAAATACTGTTCATTAACTTGAATTTGAGTTTAAAAATTTGAGCTAAAAGGGGAACTTGAACTCAGATTTTAGCCTCAAATTTTACAAAAAAAAAAAACCATAAACTTAAATAAAGTTGTAACTTAAAAATAAATTTTTATTTTTTGAATTTGAATGCAAATAAAGAAGCTCTAAATTTTCAAAATGAGAAATACCATGGACTGTCAAAAAAAATACCACACAACAACTCACTGGTGCTGCAACATTATTCAATTTTCATAATGGAATCTCACATGTGCGCAGGTACTCTATAAAAAAAGGCGCAAACTCGTAAGGATAAGCATTACAAAGCCAAACAGCTATAGCCTCCTCAGTCCTCTGCTGAAAAAAAAAAAGAAAAAAAATGAATCCGACAAAATCAAAATCCACAAGAAACAACTCCAGCTCTCTTGTGGTTCTTGCTCTATTCTTGCTTCAACAAAGCCTTCCTCATAATCTCTTTCTTGTTGAGGCTACTTCTACTAAAGTATGAAATATGAATTAATCATGAATTCTTCAAATGAACATGATATGTTATTCTATATATATACATATACATATACATATATATGAACTGGTTATAAAAGAATCAACTTTTTCGTTTCAGGTTCACATTGTGTTCTTAGGAGAGAAGATGCATGATGATCCTGTAGCAACTAAGAAGTCTCACTATAAGATGCTATCTGACTTCTTAGGGAGGTACGTATGTATATAAAAATGATATATTTATATTGCTACAGTGTTTCTATTATTATATATTAACATGGACAATAGATGTAAAATAGTATAATCTCTACTTAATTTTGTAATTATTGAAGCAAGGAAGCTGCGAAGCAGTCCATTCTCTACAGCTATAGACATGGCTTTTCCGGGATTGCTGCAAGATTAACAGACGCGGAGGCCAAAGCTATAGCAAGTATGTCATAATTTTCAAGAACTTTATCACTGTCTTCCTCTTTTTTTTTTTCTCTTTTAATTTTTTATTTTATTTAAAAGATCCATATTACTCTAGGTATGTATATATATGTATATATATTACCACCATATATACATTGATGATTGCAGAAATTCCTGGAGTTGTGAAAGTAATTCCAGACTACATTGTCAAAGCTCATACGACTAGAAGTTGGGACTTCTTGGGAGTCCCTCACAAATATTCGCCACAAAGTCCTTTATCTAACAATCTGGGGCAAGGAACTATTATTGGTGTGGTTGATTCAGGTTAGATACATCTATGTTACTAATACCCGATATATTTGGATAATGACATTAAAGGCACTATGTTTCTTTATCATTTTATTGTATATTAAGCGATGAAGTAGTAATGACATTTCAAAGAGCTCAAATTTAACTCAAATTTGCATCACATATATATATATATATGTATATGTATGTATATAGGTGTATGGCCAGAGTCTGAAAGTTTTAAGGATGATGGCATGCCTCCAATCCCAAAACGCTGGAAAGGCATCTGCGAAAAGGGCCAACAATTCAACAGCACAAATTGCAACAAGAAAATCATTGGCGCTCGGTGGTTCGTAAAAGGATTTGTTGAATCACATCAATTAAACAAAAGTGGAGTCAAAGATTATCTATCGGCAAGGGATATTGGTGGGCATGGAACTCACACAGCCTCAACTGCCGCTGGGAATTTTGTGAAAAATGCAAACTATAAAGGACTGGCAGCGGGAGTGGCGAGAGGCGGAGCGCCTCGTGCTCACTTGGCGATCTACAAGGCCTTGTGGGAAAGTGGAAGAGGCGCTTCATCTGATATTCTAAAAGCAATCGACAAAGCCGTTGACGACGGCGTTGACATCATATCCGCCTCTCTTGGCTCGACCGTTCCTCTTCTGCCTTTGGATAAGGATCTAACTGCATATGCTGCTCTCTTGGCCACTGCAAAGGGCGTAACCTTTGTTGCAGCGGTCGGGAATGAAGGTCCCGTCTCGCAAACTGCTTCAGACGCCTTTCCTTGGACCATAAGTGTTGCAGCCACCACAATTGACAGAGCCTTCCCAACGGCCATTACCCTTGGAAATAACCGCACTTTCTGGGTAATTTAACGAAAACTGAATTCTTCATATCCTATGAATTAAATTCATCTGAAATAACGTTGATGATGTAAATTTTTTTATTTTTATTTTTTAAAATTTTTTGTTGCAGGGCCAAGCCCTTTCTTTTGAAAAAACTACAAATGCTTTTGCTCAACTGATATCGTCCCAATTCATACTTGCAGACAATGCTACCTCGTAAAAAGACCTCGTCTGATATATTAATATTTATTTCGATTAATCCTGCTATATATTAATTGATTTATTTTGTTGATTAATCCTGATCTTACTATACATAATATTAATGTTTGTACTCGGTATTTTTGTTGAAGCTCGAAATGTTTGCCTGGAAATCTGAATTCCACATTAACAAAAGGGAAAATAGTGCTTTGTTCGTCATTATCAAGTGACATAAAAGTAATGAACGTAGTTTATGCATCAGAAGCTGTACGTATAGCAGGAGGAGTTGGCGTCATACTTGCACAGCCATACTCTGATCTGAATTCAGAATGTAGAATTCCATGTGTTGAAGTTGATTATACGACAGCTGCAAAAGTCTTCAACTACGTTGTCACCGCAAGGTAATCGAAAACGAACATTTCATACAAAATTAAATTTTCAAATTAGCTAATTAACGACAAAGAAAATATTACTAATTCTAGCTTATTCTTCTTATTGATTTGTCTTCTATGAACAAATTAGTTCTCCAACTGCAAAGTTAAGTTATCCAAAAACAGTTACAGGAATATTGCCATCCCCGAAAGTAGCGACTTTCTCATCCAGAGGACCTAATTCCTTGATCCCGGAAGTTCTCAAGGCATAGCCACTAACTTTATATATCAATTAACTTTATAATTAACTACATATACATATTTATTCTTAAAACATAATTTTTATGCTTAGCCGGACATAGCCGCCCCGGGAGTGGATATCTTGGCTGCAGTACCAGGAGGTAAATATGAATTTATGTCAGGAACTTCAATGGCATGTCCACATGTATCAGGGATTGTAGCTCTCATCAAATCTGTTCATAAGGATTGGTCTCCTTCTGCCATAAAATCAGCTCTTATCACTACTGGTGAGTCAAACTTAATAACTCAAAGCTCGAAACGCCTAAACTAACCTTAAACCAGTTTATTATCTAGTTTATTTTTCATGTTTATTATGATCCTATAACTTTTTTTGTCTGCTTTATTTCCTACCTTCTTTTGATTTTTTTAAAAAAATTTTGAATTGCATTTTAATTAAGCAATAGAAAAGAAGGTCAATGCCAACTTAATTTCGATGTCCCATTTTCTTTTTGATTTTTATTTTTATTTTTTTATTTTTTGATAAAAAAAAGTAAAATAATTTTTCAATTTTACAGCAACGGAAAACGGAAAAAAAAAATCCTAAATTTAGTTTTAATTTCATGCAAATTGCAGGGTCTCAAGTTGGAACAGATGGATCATACATATACGCAGAGGGTCCAAATCGTAAACTTGCAGATCCATTTGACATGGGTGGTGGCCTAGTTAATCCTGAAAAAGCATTGGATCCGGGTCTCATTTACAATGTCACTATAGAGGATTATTATCAATTCCTCGTCTCAATAGGTTTCGTTGATGCATCGATTTCGGTTTTAACCGACATGAGTATAAACAATTCCAATCGAAAAGGCTTCTCTGCATTGGATTTAAACCTTCCTTCTATAACAGTCCCAAATCTGAGAAATGGGGAGAAAGTAATAGTGACAAGAACTGTGACAAACATTGGAGATGTAAATTCAGTGTATAAGGCTGTGATCGAGGCTCCTCCAGGCATAAAAATAACGATTGAACCTCAAAGTTTGGGGTTCAATTCAACCATTAAAAGCTTGTCGTTCAAAGTTAGCTTCTTCTCAAATCAAAAACTGCACGGATATTACAAGTTTGGGAGCTTAACTTGGAGCGATGGTAAGCATCTTGTGAGGAGTCCTATAGCGGTTCGTGTCATCGCATTTAAATCATTTTCTGATGAATAAAATGTCACAAGTTTATTAGTACATTAATATGAGGCTGATTTTACCGTGTGGTTTGGCTTGTTTAAGGATTGTGTTTATCTCCCTTTATCTTGTTTTGGACTTTGTCGTATGTATGGCCTTTTATTGAAAAAATAAATAAGTGTTTTTGTAATTACCTTTTATGTTAAACTTTGAATCATGGTTTAGTCATATAGTTTGTATTAAATTACGAGATAAGTTCTTAGTTTAAATAATTTGAGCTAATTAGCATTTACGTCACTCATGTATATTTCACTTGTATTACATGTTTTCTATCTTCCCATCATACCAAACGACATAAAGATGAAAAAACAAATGAAAAAAAAAAAAAAACTTCATTCCTTTCCTTCACATGTTTCATTATAACACAGAGTACCAAAATAATTTTATTCATGTAAAAAGTAAATACAACTCAACATTTCAGCCAAAAAAAAAAAAAACAACAATAACAACATTTTAGCCGAAAGTTTTGCACAAGAAGTTACACACTATTGATCCAATTATCGATCACTAGCATGAACATTAAGACGGCCTACCAAAGCCATGAATTTATTTAGTCATCATGAAAGTCGTCATCAATTTGCAGAACCTCATCAGTAATTCCCCATAGAGCCCTTGTTCTTTCAGAAACATAATCAGAATCCCCTGATGGGTAGTCTATTGAAGGATTAGTAGGCAAAATAGACTCACAAAGAAGGATTAGTGGGTCTACAGAAGGATTACATGATTACTCAACTCCACTTCTCAAAGATTGCAAAATAGACTCTCTGACTTGAAATTGGTTGTTTTGGACATTTATCACCCTCTCTATGATATTGTCACTAATCCTACTCAACACGGTACGTCATTTAGAGGTTTTCCATATATTTAAAAAAAAAAAAAAAAAGACAAATACTCGTAAGCAAACATTTTCTGCATTCAAGTTTTGGAAGAGTCAACACTTTTTTTTTTTATTTTTTTTTACGTACATGCTAACCCATGCATTTGAGGAATATTTAGGAAAGATGAGCACTAGGAGGTGTTTTCCATTGAAATTTAGATTTTTTTTTTTTTTTTTTTTAACTAAAGTGGTTAGTTCTTGTACAGAATGCTCAATGGTCAAAGAGTAATATTACTAGTAAAATGTCTCTCTAATTTTACAAATTTAACAGTTTCACAAAATATAATAATAATAATAATAATAAAAACAGCTATTATATGTATATTTGTAATTTGAGAGCACAATAGTAAAGAAACATTTCGGATGCATGATCTTTTTCTGTCTTTGTCTGAGTTAGAATGGATGACCTTAATATTGGAATGCATGTGACTTTGTTCACGTGATATCACGTGCCGCCAATGTCCAATATGAATAATCAGTGAGCCTCTTGATTAAGATATTTAGCAATTTTCCCCCCTTTCTACATAATCTAATCGATTAACAATTAATTAATTACGTCTTATATTAAAATACGAAAAAAAAATGTTGTTCTTTTTCCCCCTTTTTTGTGTGTATGTATGATATGTTTGAATAAAGATATAGCAAGTTTGGTGCATGTTTGCTTAAGGACTTTCACCTAAATTCGGAAAAAAATAAAATAAAATAAAAAATAAAAAAATAAAACAACTGTTTACTTAAGAAGTACGTGATTGCCTATTATTAACAATGAAATAACCTAATTAAAAATGGCCGATTATTTACAATATAGTAAGATCACACTTGCACACTGGTCGATAAATTATAAAGCCCTGCCTTTCAGCTCCTTAAAATCGTTTTTCTTTTAAGTCACAATAAAAATAATTACCTAATTATTGGTCCCTAGTATTGTAAAATCCTCATAAACTCAAAGATACAAACATGAAATGCATGTGCCAACCATTTTGTTTCTTTCTTTTTTGGTTCTGTTTTTTATTGAATATGTATTGATTTTTATGGACTTTAATTCATCACTAGATAGTTTATCACTGATTAACCAATTTATTGGAGTGACCAAAATTGATTAACTGCTACTGAAAAACGGTCACTTCTCCACACACACACAAAAAAAAAAGATTAAATTTTAAAAAATGTGGAAAAGATAACGGTCATTTGCGCTGAAAAAATTAGTAGAATGTGAGAAACAAAGCTAGAGCTGAGCTTTAAGCGCGAGAGGAGGGAAGGGCTCTCCCTTTAACCGCTACTTTTCTTGCAATGCTGCTACTTTATCGGTCCCTCTCGTCTGGTTGGCCTCGGGCTCAGAGATCGAGATAGAAAGGATGGGTTGTCAGCTGATGGAATTTCTTCTTCGATACCACTTTATGCATCTAATTTATTCCAGGATTGGTTCATTATAACCACTTGATCGACAGAATAGGTGGGAAGATGGAGTGAAGTTAGTCGATAGCTCCCATCGTTCCAGGGTTCGAAGGTCTGGATCCAAGGTCAAATAAGAATGTTTTGCTAATGCGGCCAAGGACAAAAAGAATGGAAAATGATTTCCGTACTAAAGATCTCAATAGGGGATTCATTGCCGAGATAAAAATTGGGTTATTCCGCTTGTTGAAAAACAAGACTGAAAAATAAGATAAATTGGAGAGACGAGGTTTTCTCGCCAACAACGTGGGATTTGACCCCCTGTTAGTTAGTATGAATAAAAAGAAAAGATAGTACAACCTACGGGCTTCTTAGCCAAAAGAAAAAACCATGGAAAAATTAGGGCGACATTCTTGTCGTCACATTCGCCAAAACTGTGAGAACGTTCAGCAATTATCAGAACACAATCCTAATACTAACAAAAGAAGATAGCCGTAACTCTAGATATGCATTTTATTAGGCAATAAATTGTTAAATGCCCATTCCATCAAATTTGAAAACATATAAGAAACGTATAAATACTATATTCTACAATTTTACCCACTTAGGCCCATGAAAAAACCAATACATCGCTAGTTTACATGCGAAGAAAATCTCCCACAAAAAATCCAAAAAAAAAAAAAAAAAAACTGAATCCAGCTAATCTTTTAACTGCTTGGCCAAAAATTCCAGAGGGACGTATCCTTTCTATTCCAGTTTGCAATTGCTGCATTATGTATATTTGACCCTCTACTAAAGGGATTCTGGACATTTTCTTTGCCTGCAAATTTAAGGAGTGGGAAATTACATGATTATTCTCATTACAGTTATTATTTCTTCCTTCTGAAGCACATTATAATAGTTAATATTCTCATCAGATATTCTTTTGAAGTAGTACAGTCCAGGCTCAGATGGAACATACCTAGGAAAACCACATTAGAGACAAGGAAATTGGCAGTGAGCTAATCAAGAGTTGAAGAACTAACCATACTTTTAAGACGATAGTCGTCCAAATAAGATTCCACTGAAAATAATAGCTCCAAACCACTTGTTGGACACAAATCTGGAAAAACGATGAAACATCAGTTAAGCATTTTAATGATGTTCAAAGCTAGAATAGAATACATTTAACAAAACATTTAGAGCACAATACAAATCTTTTTATGCAGGACCAGTGAGGGAAATAGAAAGAGAGGAGAGAGGAAGAGAAAAAAACAGAAGGGAGGGGAGAAGGAAACTAAAAAAAAAAAAAAAAAAAAAAAAAAAAGAACTAGGGAAAGGAAAGACGACAGAGGAGGATTTCAATACTAAGTGGCAATTCATTAAAAATAGTCTAACCTCAATTTAGGCCTGACCTATTGGTAGATTTCTTAGCGACGCTATGAGCAGAAACTTCTAAGAAGATTCCTGAACAGAAAACTTAGGAAAATAGTTTTGCCCTGATTTTAGCATAGAAGTGGATTGACCAATGAACCCTTAAAGCTACTGAATATTTATGAGCCAAATTACTTATTACAGAATACATTAAAAGCAATTAATAACTATCTTACTGAAAATTAACATCAAGTGAAAGTAATACGTACTTTCTATTGCAATCGGCTCGTGATGAAAGGTCAACTGTCCATATCTGCCACGCTAATTGTCCAGATGCAGCTGCCAAAGATGCATAATATGGCCATCCTGCTCAAAGGGAACAGAGCATTTTTTTCACAGGTACAGAAAAACATGATAAAGTATATAATTAACATGTAAGAAGAAAAGTTACCAATTTCGGCATTAAATCCACTAAGGGCAAGACTACCAATGCACGCAAGTCCAAACCCCGTAATCCACTTCTTGGTTGAATCCCCAAATCTCAAAGCTGTAGATTTAACACCAACTTTCAGATCATCTTCTTTATCCTGAATGGATGGTTAAAACACGCTAATTTCACCAAAATATTCATGTTGAAGATTTCTAATCTAAGGCAATAGTTCCCACTGGAACTCAACTAAGAATATCAAGCAATTGAAGAGAAGATGGAAACCCGCTCAACCTCTCTCTCTCTCTCTCTCTCAAATATCTTACTCTTGAATAAAGGACTTAATTCCAACAAAAACAAAAACAAAAAAAGATGATTCTTCAGCATTTATCTCATACCTGGTGTGCATATATCGTGTCATACACTAGAGTCCAAAAAACTCCAGAGACATACAACGGGAGCACTACAGCTGGATCAATATTTCCTTTAACTGCAGCCCATCCTAACAGAGCTCCCCAATTAAAGGTCAAACCTAGAAATGCTTGAGGCTACAATGCATAGACAAAATGAATCAATCAGTAAAATTTCATGACACTGTAGATTGATCAAAGGACAGAATAAACTCCAGAGAGTGTCAAAACAACAAGATATCTTTACCCAAAATGTCAACCTCTTCATGAGGGGATAGGAGAAGACTAGCAACAAAGATGAAGCCCCCAAAATACGGCTGTTGGAAATAGAGAACCAGAATAAGTTTAGACACATTCTGCATGCTGCATGTGCTAGCAGCCAACCCAGCTTAGACAGATCTATAAACTAAATGAGAAGTAAAAGAGAACAGGTTGAAGCTAATGTAATGCAGGGTTACTATGTAAGATGGCCAATTAAGTAAAATACAGAGGGCAGCTCCGCGGACACAAGGTTGGGGGTGAACAAGTCCTATCAGTGGGGTTGTTTAGGCCAGAGCTCAAGAATTGGCAATCGGCAATCAGGGACGGGATACTGGCAGCCGGTTTTGATTCCTTTAATGGGTTTACAATTTAGATAGGATCATTCACTGGGTACCAAGAGTTAAGTGTTCTCACTTTTTCAAATTCTTCTACCTACTTTCTGTGAACTAAGAGTTAGACATGTAAAAAAGGAACCTGGTAACCTAATTATCTCTTTCCATAATATTGCCATATCTAAGGATCCCCGTTTCATGTGAAAGCGTCCAATGAAAATACTTTCTCAATCCTTTCAACTTCTCATTATTTAAAACACACACACACAACACATCGTTAGAACACCAAGAGCTTTACAGAAAGATGGAATAATTAGCCGTTTATTTCTTTGCCTTGATGCATACGTGCAAACCTCACGTGATGAATTTTTATGCACTACTTTATGGCCAAGGGTTATATGCTTGACTAATTTGGAACTCAATTCCACCTATATGGCGACGGTCATATAACTACTCAATAAGTAGAACAGGTAATTTTGTGCAAGTGTGAAGAATGCTCTATCTTGTTATAGCCTGCAAACACAAGCTTGGGCCAATTAACATGTATCTATCGCTTTTCCAGGTTCTCACAGGGGCAAGATTACGGTTGTTGACATTTCAACATCCATGAACATATTTGCATCACCCAGGAGAAACAGTGAACACTATCTCTCTCATAGTCTATGTTGCAGAAATCTTTTTTGACTTCTCCACAGTTTCATGCTAAACAATCAACGTACAAACATCTCCAGCAGATCCACAAACTATACATGCCAACACACAAATTAACTTTTGGTACATGATGTGGAATGTGTGGCTAGAATCAAATGAATCTACTTAAATGAATCAGTATTAAGTAGAATTAACCAACTCCAAAAAGCACCACAACGAGGGCAGATAAAAAGAACATTAACCTATAATTATTCAATTGAAGAAGAAAACAAAGACCCAAAGTCAATTGAAACCCAAGAAAACAAAGCCCCTGAAAAGGTGTGAGGAGACCACTTGCAACTGGCCTCAACTTTGTACGTTCCACCTGCATTGAAAGTCCATATTACCATGCAAAAGTTCCAAAAGAAAAAAAAAAAAAAAAGAAATAATTGAAAGTATGAACCAGAAATTAAGGCCAACAGGAGTAGAATACGGCTATGACAAACTAAATAACAATTTAAAACCCCCTAAACTTTTTGTCAATATTCACTTCATGATCAATCACACCAAAAAAATAATAATAATATTGGGTAATTTTAAAAAATAAGCGTAGAAATTACCTTCTTTTTGGGCTTCCATCTAGAGATAAAGCCTTTTAAAGAATTTCCTTTTTATTATTTTGAACTGGAAGGATGTTATCAGTCATTAAATGGGCATCCAACTATCATTAAATGTGCCTCCAACTAACTTTCATCATCAATGAAAGAATGTTTATCAGGGTTTTTTGAGTATTTTGACAATAATGCAAGTAAGAAAGCATGGTCTTCCTTTCCTTCCACCTTGCAGAATTGGCATTCCACTGTTTACTATGAATAACCTCCCTTTTCCCCCCTTTCTTGCACATATATACACACAAAAGAAAGAAAAGAAGATGGAAAAAAAAAAGTGCCCGGAACTAGAATACAACACACAATTATAATCCCAAATCAGGTGCTCCCAAAAAATGCCACTTAAATATAAGAAGCTCCTATGTAACCCACTTTTCTTGTTAATCCTTGTAATCCTAATAGTTACACTCACAAAACTCTTTTATCTACTACAAAAGGAAGGTTTCTACATTAGTTTACAAACCTTACAACCCATGGTCTACGCAACCTACATCAGTTTGATCTATTGCCACGTTTCCAAAAGAGGTAACATTTCAATTACACTCAACGATAGGTCCTGGATTTTAATTTGGTAAAATACGAAGAGAGGGCTGCAATTTTGAACAGGAAAAGAAAGTAACAAATAAAAACAGAAACAGAGAAAGCAGTAAAGTCATTTCTCTCTTTTGAAATATTAAAAAATTTTAGATGACTTAAATTCAATCATTCCCCAAATACTTCAAACAATGAGTTATGAAAGTGCCTTTGATAATTACAATATATTTCCATATGGATCCAGTGCTTAATTTGTCCTTATGTTTCTGAAAAACCATTTTCTACAGAAAATGCACATCAAAAGTTGTAAGATAAGAGAAGGAACGCAATAAATAAATAAATAAATAAAAACAATACATATAAATAAAACAGACAGAGAGAGAGAGCATTTCAAGACCCTGGGTTTAGTGTAAGATACAGTACATACTACTAAATACAATTTCAAAATTGTGCTCGTGTGCAGATGCAGAAATACATGAACAAGCACCTATGCAGATTAATTAAGTTTGAGAATCACAATATGTTCACATCATAACAACAATAGGCGATCTAATTGAGATGCAATTTTTGTATATCAATATATGACTACTCCCAGAAACGTCTACCAGTATATGGATATCATTACTCCATTAGCTGTCAAACTGAAGTATCATACTTTTTTGACATATAAAGATCTTGACATAAAGACATCCATAAAATTGAAATGCATTTTGCAGGAAGTGTTATCCTAAAATGACCCAAGAACAAAAAAAAAAAATATGGGCTAATCTCACAAATTGTCCCTGAAGTTTAGCTTCAATCTCATTTTAGTCCCTCACTTTTCAAACGTCGCACAATTGGTTCCTGAGATTTTATTATATTTCAATTTCGGTCCTTCTGTTAGCTTGGTGTTAAATATATGACGGAATTTGTAGAAATTATGGACTAAAATTAGAAAAATATAAAGTTTAGAGCAATACGAAAAAACAAAACTTAATTTTCACATATATAGACCTAAAAATTTTAGTTATTTCTAATTTTGGACTCTAATTTACACAGATTTCATTAAATTTTAACGCCTAGTTAATGGAAGGACCGAAATTAAAACAAAATAAAACCTCAGGAACCATTTGCGTGACGTTTAAAAAGTCATAGACTAAAGTGGGATTCAGTGTAAACCTCAGGGACCATTTATGGAATTAACCCAAAATATATAAACCAACTCTAACACATGCTTCGAAGTTAACGGGTGAATATAGGATCGGACAAAGTAGAACTTAGTAACTTACCATTGTATCAATATCCCGATCAAGAAGATCATTGATAGTACAGCCAGCACCACGTAAAAGCAGAGCCCCACACCCAAACAAGGTCAACATCTTAAAATCAGGAAGGTGTCCCGGGGTTGCCGCCAGAGTGATTGACCTAGAGAATCAATAATATATGTATATATATTTAACAAAGTAACACATAACAGTGCAAGTAACATCCTTGACAGTCGACAAATGCCTACTACAGAGTACAGACTCAAGAAAAAAGAATGCTTCAATCCTAACAGTTCTAATGCAACACCCAGTTGGCGTATAAGTAGCAGTGAAGTAAATACTTCTACATTTCTCTGGCAAAATTCCATAGTTATTGATTTTTTATCATTTATGTCTTCTCCCTACTGCTTTGTCACCTACACGAACAGAGTTTTGCAATGCCTGATCCAAGGGTCGTAATTCAAACTTCAAAGGGCTTTTAACACTTGTGAGCAGTAAGCCCTAAACTTTCATCCTTTTAACTTTTTCTCTTAGCAATTTATCCCCTAAAATTTCCAAAAGTGTGGCAGTTAACTAAAATGTTTATCGAAGACTAAATGAATAATTCAGTAACTAAATTACAAGCTCAAAAGTAATTTTTCAAGGGCGAAAACGAAAAATAATGAGAAGTTGCACAAGTGCTTAAAGATATTAATTACTCCGTCTGAAATCTAACCCTTGCTAACGATTGAAGTTGCTATATGTTTCAAAAAAAAAAATTTATTTTCCCCTCAAAATTTAGAAAATGAGATTAACGGAATCGATTGACGTAAACCAAATAATAATAATAATAATAATAATAATAATAATAATAATCAGCCATTCGGAATACATCTCCATGTTCTCTACCAAAAAAAAAAAAAAGTCAAAAGCAAAAATACAGGATGCAAAAGAAGCCGTACCCCATATAGAAGACGACGACGATGTCGAAATGTGGCGGACGGAAACGGCGCCAAATTCGACGATCAATTTCCGGCGACCGTAGTAGAATTGCTTAGGCCATAGGAAAACCGGAATAGGAGGAGAAATGTGGAGAGGGCTAGGGTTAGGGTTTGGAGCGTAATGAAAGGAAGAAGAGATTGAGGAGGAAGAGGGATTCAAAAACCTACGGGTTCGGAAGGCACGAGAGAGCAAAAACAACGTCATTTTGAATTGGAATGCATGTTTTTAATGGGTCTGCATAGGAATCTGGCGAACATTTAAAACTTTGGTATTTTATACGAGTTTTCAGAAGCAAGGCATTCCGAACTCATTCAGCTGCTCCCCGGAAGTGGCGATTCCTACAGAACATAAGGAGGTCAATCAAATCAGAAATCAGAAATTATTAAAAAAGGGTAAAATCGATATTCCACGTTCAAAAAAAGACCTCAGGCTATAAAAAATCAATTTTTTAAATTATCAAAGTATATAAGACAAAAATGCAATTACCCATTAATATAGAATACCAAATTAAAATTATTCTTAAAATAAATATGCAAGAAAAAAATGAAGGGTAAAAAGGAAAACTGTTTGGTTTCTGCAACAATTCAAACCCTCCTGACTCAATTATGGACTCATTCATTCCATCGATTTAAATTTTTAATTTTAGATTTTTACAGTTAAAAGCTTTTAGAAAATGTAACATTTAACTTTTTTTGTTACAATTAAAAGTTCTCAAAAAATATCACATATCAGTTTAAATTAAAAACTTAAATCTGTAAAGCGAACAATGTATATATATTTCACATCCCAACTAGAATGGAAGCCATCCTTGGAAGAAATTAATGGGATTCTTACTCCAATTCTTACAGTGTGTTTTGTAGAACGGAAAAAGGATAGGAAAAAGAAAAGAAATTAGATGAAGGATTTTAAAGAAAAAAATAGAATCTTGTGTTGTTTAGTAGATAGGAAATGAGGTAGGAAAGTAGAAATTGATGGGTTCACTAATTTTAAATCTTTCTAACTTTAAAAAGAAAAAATGATGAAAAATTTTGATAAATAAATGAGATATAAAATAATTATTTTAACTTTAATCATTCATCATTTTTTATTAGTATATGGGTACTATTGTAAAATACAATAAATTTAACATTTTCTTTTCACTTTTTTTTCTTCTACCAAACAACATGAGATAAAATCTACATTCCACCATTTTATTTCCTCTACCTAGGTATTTTACTTCTCTTTCTTTCCTCTTTTTCTATAACATATGCCAAAAGTGGACAATCCAGGAAATAGCCCATGGAAACAATAATAATATGAGATAAACAAAATAAAATCTCAAGATAATATGGGCTTATTCGTTTGCACCTAAATTCAAAAAAGTTTAAACTCAAGTTATAACTTTATTCAGATTCATGTTCTTTTGTAAAATTTGAGTTTGAATTTGAGTTTTAACTTGAGTTTAATGTTGAAATCTGAGTTCAAGTTTCATTTTCAATTCAAGTTTTTAAACTCAAACTCAAATTAATAAACAATATTTTTTTATTATTAAAAATGCTATAACTTTTTCATTTTAATTCAGATTGAGATAATTCTTTTTTATACGTTCACAACGAAAAGATGAATAAAAATTCACCCATATACCCTATTAAAATTTTCTATCATCATTGAGTTTTTATTAAAATACTATATAAATATAAATTCAAGTTTTGATATACAAACACAAACTTAAAAAGATTCTCATCTCAAACCATAACTCAAATGTACACAACAAAATACAAATTCAAGTTACAACTTTAACTCAAATTATAACTTAAATTCAATTTAAGATTTACACTCAAGTCACCATAATTTAAAAATGCAACTGAACAAATTAAAAGTGATAATAATGAATGAAATAGAGGCCATTTGAAACTAACAAAGACATACATCAATCATCGGTCTAAAAACAACAATAAAAATAAAAAAGGAAAAAGAAAAAGAAAAATTCTGCTTTGAGCCATAACCTTGGGAACGCATATGACAAACACAACAAAAAATTGATCTAAAACAGAAGAAAAAAATGCAAAAATCGAGCCATAACCTTGGGAACGCATATGACAAAAGTAAAATCGATGAGAAAGAGATAAGAAGAGAAGGAGCCCTTAGTGTGCAATGCTCTTGGAAACAAGCGAGAGTGACGAAAACGATGTGTGGAGATAGAGAGAAAGAGTCTGAGGCCTCGTTCATTTCACTGATTTGAGTTTTCAATTTTAGATTTTTACAGTTAAAAACTCTCAAAAAAATGTCACATCTAACTTTTTTTACTACAGTTAAAAGCTCTCATAAAATGTCACATCTCAACTCGAATTGAAAACTCAAATCCGCGAAGCGAACGAGGCCTTAGAGTGTGATATGTTGGGAATGAGAAGCAGGAACGAACAGCTAAGGGCCTTTTGGAATGCATGGCCAGATTTCACAAATAACTCCTATACAAAACTTTTTGAATATGATAATGCAAGAATTAAAAAGGAAATAACAGTAAAGACCACAATTAACACAAAATTTCACAATTCAAAAATAAGCTACAAATGTAGAACAGTAAAAAAATAATAAAGTATGGCCTGTTTAATTCGCTGATTCGAGTTTTTAATTCAAGTTGAGTTAGATGTGACTATTTCTGAGAGTTTTTTACTGTAGCAAAATTCAAATTCTAAACTCGAATCGGTGAAATGAACGAGACTTCACAACTCAAGTTCTATTACTACAGTATTTTCTCTCACAAAAATTTAAATTCTACTTTTTTATTACAGTGTTTTTCTCTCACAAACACAACTCGAATTCTTAACTTGAGTTGTGAAACAAACACTATATAATAAAAACAATAACAATAACCAACAAAAAAAACACACACACACACAATAAATCTCTGCAAAAAGTAGATAAGACAAAGTAAATTTCAACTTCTGAGTTGTTAAAAAAAAAAAAAAAAAAAAAAAAAAAAAAAAAAAAAAAACGAAAGAACCCAACTCCTTTATTTGTTGAATAACCCAAAATTTGTTAATCACCCCTAGTTCAATTCAAACTATTCAAGATTCAAACATGTCTAACCCATGAGCTAATTTTGATACACTTCATACAATCGCCTAAATGCCTCATTCACAACTACAATTGCAAGTTGCATTGCAACTTGTAAATTCCCAACTTCAATAGCCAAAACAAATAGCCAATTGTAATATATATATATATATTTTTTCTATTTTCTTTGATAGAATCCTCTTCCACCTGAAACTTCTGTTGCAATTGTTTTTCGTTTAATGAAGTCTCTCGTTTCTTACAAATAAAGATAAAAAAAAATGCCAAAACGAACAAGACAGTAGCAGTAAATACACTCATTTATCTGATAATGAAATAATAAAAAAGCAATTTCATAAACTCAAAAATTTCGATGTTTACCAAGTCTTCACTGCTTAGCAAAAAGAATATATATACTTATATATATATATATATACAAAAACAAAAATAAGTGAATAGATTCACTTTGCCAACCCCAATTCGCCCATTCATCTCGCAAAGCCATGACCGGCGGCAAAGTCGTCATCGCCTGATAGTCAAATTAGGTTGGAATTTTAAGGAAATAGTTGTAGGTATCGATCAAGAGGGTTCAGATCAATTCTGCGGTGATCACCATTCCATTGTTATAATTTGAATCCATCCATCACTTTAGACAGAAATTGGGAAAGATGTGTAAATGCTCAGAGAGAGGGATAAACATTGTAGCAAAGGATTTGCTTGCAGGTTAGATTTATTTGATATGAAATAAATCCCAATCTATTGGAATTAAGGTTACGTTTATTTTACCGATTTAAGTTATCAGTTTAATGTTTCTACAGTTAAAATTTTTAAAAAAATATTACATCTAACTTTTTCTGCTACAGTTAAAAACTCTCAGAAAATATTGTATCTCAACTCAAAAAACTCCGAACAAAGCCTAAAATCCATACTTATATCATTTCAAAGATGCGAAAGGGGAAGAAATGCACGAAAAGTTTGATTTAATTTTTTATTTTATTCTAAAAAAGATTTAATCAATATATACAAGAGATGGCGGAAATAAATATATATACAACGTCAAGATATGAAGGCATGAAAGAAGAATTTAAAATTTACCTATATAGCAACTCTTACTTAAACTTTCTCTTTTCTTTTCTTTTTTTTTTTTCCTTTTTGTAAAGTGCATGCAAATCGTTAATCAGATTGGTGATTTTGAAATTCAAAAAACTGTTATATATTTGATTAAAAAGATAAGCCTTCAATTATCATTAATCTGATTGTGATAAGCAAAATTCAAAAAAGTACATTTTGCTTAAAAAGCTATGCCAAATTCTTAAGATTATAGATGATGGAACAATAATCTGATTGCGAAACCTTTTTTTTTTTTTTTTCATTTCAAACAAAAATTAATTAGTTTAATCACCCGTCAATCGTCCAATGCTCTTTTGCGTCCCGATGATGAAAAATAATACAATTTGTATCTCAGTTCTGCTAACACAATGAAGTGTCAATTGAATTCTTACTATCATCTTTAAAAAAAAAAAAGAATAGATTAGAAAAGATGGTGGATAATCACAAGATGAATGATGAGGTGTAAATATTTTTATTTTTATAGTAGTTTAATTTCTAAATTTTTTTAAAAAAATTGTCATCAAATTAATGAGAGTTAGTTTAAACAAAGAATTTGCACAAGTTTAAGAAACATTGACGACGAGAAAGATATTCTCAGATATTTTTATTTTTTATTTTTACTGAATATTCGGATAAACATCTTCAATCTTACGTATTTACTCTTATCTGTATTTCGAAAAAAGAAATATTTAAAATCTAGAACTGAGAATATTATCTTGTGCCTGACATATTAAGATTTACATTTAACTTTTTACTAAACTCTAAAAAAGAAAAAAAGTCCCGTTTAGTTCGCTGATTTGAATTTTTAATTTGAGTTGAGATGTGATTTTATATGAGAGCTTTTTACTGTAGCAAAAAAGTTAGATGTGATTGTTTGTGAGAGCTTTTTACTGTAACAAAACTCAAATTCTAAACTCGAATCAGTAAAATGAACGGGGCCGTAAATTCAAATGCTACATCAGTATATATTATTATATACTACATCAGTGGTTATCTTACCGTAAATTCAAATGCTACATCAGTGGTTATCTTAAAGAGGTTTTGAGTGAATGAATGAATTTTGGCTTCCTTTGTATTGATCGTAATGATGAGAATATATACAGTATGAGTACATCACTTAGTTCCACAATATATGTCTACGTGTGGAACAAAGTAACAAAAAGATAAGGATAAATAACAACTAAATGAACGGGGCCGTAAATTCAAATGCTACATCAATATATATTATTATATGCTACATCAGTGGTTATCTTACCGTAAATTCAAATGCTATATCAGTGGTTATCTTAAAGAGGTTTTGAGTGAATGAATGAATTTTGGCTTCCTTTGTATTGATCGTAATGATGAGACTATATACAGTATGAGTACATCACTTAGTTCCACAATATATGTCTACGTGTGGAACAAAGTAACAAAAAGATAAGGATAAATAACAACTACAATATCTAGCAAATTCTAGTAGATTCAGAATACAAGATTTAAAATATAAATTATAAAATTTAAACTTGCTTGTGGTTGGAGAGATTTCTGCTGATAATCTTATCGTAAATTTAAATGCTACATCAATAGTTATCTTATCCTAAATTCAAATGTTATCTTATCGTCTCTAGCACTAGTTAAGTACTTTAACACTATATATATATATATATATATAATGCATATAAAGAACGTCAATAATATATTATTTATTTTGTTGAGAGTTATAAAATGAAGAGGGTTCCGATTTTGTTGGTGATTTTCTCGAGTGCTTCACTAGTGTATAACGTTCATTCTCAAGAGAGTTGTTTTAATTTGTTCATTCATCTTACACCATGTCTTGTTGAGATATCTGGCTTGAATATCGGTTTGAAGGGTCCTATTACCTACTCTTGTTGCTCCACAATTCTCGATGTTGCCGACAATTGTCCTCGCGGATTACAACCTTTCTGGTTAAACAAAGCTGAGGAGAATTGCATTATTACGTATCGGAAAACTCCGCCCCCAACACCACCCTCCAATGATGGTGATATTGGCACAAGTCCACCCTCTAATGGTACGGATAAAGGCAAATCTCCGCCGCCGCCGCCGCCACCACCTCAGAGCAAACAAACACCGCCACCAGTCCCACCCTCAAATTGCTGTAATCAGCAGAACTGTCCCGACCTTAACCGCCTACGGCCGTGCGCCAGCCAAATGTTTGACTACCATAATAATAAAACTCCAATCAGCTCGTCCTGTTGCACCATCATTCTCGACGTCCGAGAGAAATGCAGTCCCCGAGGGTGGACCGACTTTGCCATTGAATGCCAAAACTACTGCTTGAACCACCCGTAATCTCGTTCCTTTTCTTAATGGACGTTTAGTTCATGTATTCAGAATTATTCTCGTTTTACGTGTATTTTTTGAGAGAAAAATATTGTAAATAATCATGAATTATGATTCAGAATCAGGTACGAATACAACAAACAAATCGTTATGTCTTTCTTCTTCTTTTAATTTGTCAATGCTCAATTGACTAATTCTGTCACCTTTAGAGTAGGTTTTTTCTGTTATTTTCTTTTTTGCCGGTTCTTGAATGTTTCATACATGTTAGTAGGTCTAGGTTCTCTTTATTTAACGACCGTCTTAATTTGTTTTCTAGTATTGATGATTTTCTTTTAGAGCAATTTTATGATCTTTTTTTTTTTTTAAAGAAACTTTTTCCTAACCTCTCGCATTATCAATATATCAAATAAAGGTAACTCCTTTTTTCATTATCAATATCAATTTTATTATGGTGGTGTCTGTGTGCTTTAGTATTATTCATACCGATTCAAATTTGTTTAAAAAAATACATCATGCATGCCTATACACCTTATAAAAGAAAAAAAAAAAAAAAAAAAAAAAAAAAAAAAAAAAAAAAAACAACAACAACAACGCGTGCCTATGTAAATTACTTATTAACGATAACGGAAGTTTTTTGCTTGAAATATTACGGTAACGGAAGTTACTACTTTCTTTTTACGTTGATTCTCACCTACAAGAAATGACAGAAATAAATGTATATGCAATGTAAAGATATGAAGATATGAAAGTAGAATTTTAAATTTATCTATAGCAACTCTTTCTTTATTTTTCCCCCCCTTTTTGTAAAGTGCATGCAATTAGTAAAGTATTCATATCAGTAATCAGATTGATAATAATTGAAATTCAAAAAATTGTTATACATTTGATTAAAAGGATAAGCCTTCAATTAATTATCATTAATCTTATTGTGATAATCAAAATTCAAAAAAGTACATTTTGCTTAAAAAGTTATGCCAAATTCGTAAGATTATAGATGTCTATCACAATCAGAAAATAAAAAATAATAAAAAAAAAAGAAATAATCAATCAGATTTTTAGGACATATATGTGAAATTTATGTAAAAAAATATATATGTGAAATTCAGCTAACCGTCCCATATAATAGAAAAACTCAACCTAAATCCACTCAATTAATAATCAGGCTATATATTTGGTTGATATCTTGATCAGATTTGTCGGGTTCGGATTATAAAGAATTGGATTGAGTGGGCTAATTGGTTTGTGGGTTGTGAAGTTTTTTGTTCACTCCTATTATTAAACCGTCATTAGTCTGGCTTTTAGTTTTATAGTTTTCTTCGCAAAGGTTTTATTTTACTTTCAACAAGTTAATAGCAGAAGGAAAAAAAATTTCTTCAATTAATGACTAAAATATATATATATATATGTATATATATTTTGAGAGTTTTAACTTGTTTTTCTTCTTCAACGTTTCTTGATCTTTTATTCTACGTTTGTTTCTTGTATTTGTCTTTGATTTTGAATCATGATTCATGGTTCTCTATAGTATTTTTTTCTCACAAAAAACACACATAAAACGAGAATAATTCTGAATCATGGTTCTAAATCCATAAATCAAACGTCAATGTCATACCAAGAAATGAGTTGATTGTGTGGGGTCTCATCAGAATATGTTATTGTTATGTTTTATAAAATATTTTTGCATAAATTCCCAAAAGTTGGTTCTATTTGATCTGGCAATTCAGCCTCTGGTATTTAACATAGTTGCATTGAAACCTTTATTTATTTTTTATATTTTTTATATTTTATTTTAATATTATTATTATTTTGGCTGAGTTGCATTGAAACCATTTACAACACTTAGCTGTGAGAAACAAAAAGCTCAAACTGATCAGTTTTAAGAGGGGATTCAAATGGCCATACAAGGCCTCAAATATTGTATTTGTCCAAACAATTTAACCACGTGTTTGATTACATCCTTGAAGATTCCATCTTTAGTTTTTTTTTCTTTAAAAAAACAAAATTATAAATATCCAATCCTGGTCTTGATTCATCAAACAGCCGAGCTGCACTTTGAACAGTTGTAGGAAGCTCGAGTAGCCCAAAACTAGCCAAACTACGAGAGTAGCGATTTTGGTCCCTCTATTTCACAGCAAAACATGACTAGGTCTATTGTACATGCAGCCAAAAGGGCATCATACTGAGAATTTCTAAGCCATTCTGGTCCTACCAAGTATCTGTTTAGCTCCGGCAACTTCTGAGTGCTATCCCAACAGAGCTAATATTTTTCTCTTGTTCCGATCTCATTCCTCGGTTAATTTTGTTAGGGTTTCTTAACATCCTTAGAGATTAGTAGTGGGTTATGAATTGACAGTTCAAACAAAATTCAGTCCGCACATGTCGTTGATTTAAAAGTACGCGGTATCGCTTACTCATACAGCATGCTTCTGACAGCAATCCAACAATCTAGCAACATTTGCAGCATTTTCCTCCTCGGCGCCATCATTTGAGGAAGTCCACTGATTTATGATAGTGATTATCCTTCTAAGCTGTTTCATAGTTAAGGGCACAAAAGCTATTTAATGCAATGAAAATTAAAACCCTGCCAACCACTTTTTCGTAAGCTTACTATGAACAACATCATAGCAATGGTATTGCATATTTAACGAACTCAAGGATACAGCTGTTGTTCTAGCCTTTGATTTTAAGCCGTCTAATTGATGGTCAAGAAGATCATCTTCAATCAGCTCAGATTTGCTTGCTAGGACAGAAACATATTGATGCAGACTTGTTGGACTCATCTCATTTTCGCGAACTTGAAACAGTAACCTTGCGATGATGTTCCAAACTGCACCTCGTGCTTCTAAATCGTCCGAAGCAAAAGGAAAAATATCAAGCAGACCCTGTAAGAAAGTCAAATCTGGATGCGCCGCCCAAAATGTCACTTGTTAGTTCTTTGGTAATAAGAGATTGATAAATGACCCAATCTAAAGTAAGCAGAAGAAAACAAAACTAACCTACCATTCGACATCTCTGAATCTAAATCAGCTACATCAGACATAATATTCGCAATTAAAACTGCAGCAGTGACACAAGAGTTCGCAATCTGCAAGCAAAAACAATACCGTAAGTGTGATTGATCAAAATAGCACATCATAAATAGATTAGTAGCAGACTAGAGGAAATTAAGGACAGGACAACTAATTTCAAAAACTTTGTATCCAGTAACTACTTTAGACTGTTGAGAATCAAAGAAGAATATTAACTTTCTATAACAACAACATGAAAGAGCACCACCACTAACAATTTCATGAACAAGAGCTGAGCAAAAGTACCGGAAAGTGTAAGTGTGTAACCACATTTTCTAGTGATCAGTGATCTAGAGTGTACCTCAGCTTTGTCCGGGAATTTGACTAGCGCACAAACCAGATAAAAAAGCTCTTTGTTTGAAGAGATCTCCTGAGAAGGACCATCTATAATAGAAATTGCTTCAATTGCACGGAGAAGTACGTCAAGAATTGACAGCCTGCATAAAAGTAATAATAAACAAGGAAAACAACAGGTTACTGAATATACAAAAGATAAAATAGAGTAGCAAAGACTTTAGCATCTCTACTCTGCGCAGAAAAGAGAAACCAAACACACCAAACTCAAATTCCTATTTATAGCTTTTCAAGCACACCTTTCAGTTACCCTTTCGTTCGTCAGAACACTGATCTCACAAGCCAAGAGACTGGTCAAAAGACTTGGTAAACCCATCTTCATTAAAAGTGGAATCAGAATATGCACAACTTCCTGCGAACTTTCACTGATGGCCAATAATAGTTCGATGCTCTGTTCCCAAAACAGAAAGCTTCATTAGGCATTAGTAAAATGAACAACTAATTAGCATTTACACATTCCATTTCGTATAATAAAAAATCTGATGTGTCTGTATTAGAGTAGAGTTGACTTGCTGAGAAAGTAGTGATGTTGACTGTATACTAATTACCAAACAATCCATAGCAATTTAGCCATCAGCAGCGATGGCATATCCATTCCACAATCCAACCTCAAACACAAGTTAGCATTTGAACAAATGTTTAACAAGCCCCAAGATGTTAAGCACAAACTTCAAATTTCTTAAAAAAGAAAAGGAGAGAAATACCGCACCAAACTTATCATAATACCCAAGATATTCCAGCATCTTTGACGCTTCTTTCATCCTATTCTAATTAACCAACCAGCCCTATGACAAACTGCGGACATGGATTTGCGTTCTACAAACTTCGTCAGCTATACATTAGTGAGTAGAAAAACTGTGGAAACATCATAACAAACTAAAAGGATCTCACCGTTTACATGAGCGATTGTAAGCACATAAATTAAAATTTTATATCCGCATAAGCAAAAACTGCATAAATGGAATTTGATACCTTTTCTATAAGTTGTCGATTTAGGGTATTTTCAGCAATCCATAAAATACGGCACAGAATGCGCTCAGATTGTAGCGCCGCAGCCCACGCAATACTCTCACTACTTCGAACGCCCAAACATAACACACTGTCGAGAGTTTTAAACGCAACGGGTGTATAAAGCATGTAAGTAGCAAAGCATACGATGTTCTAAGCAATAAAATACATAGATGATAAAGCCCAACAATATAAATAGCATCAGCCTAGGTTCTAAGCATACAATCTTCCGGTAAAAATAACAAATATGAAGTATGTCCTGAATTTCTGCAAGTTATTGGTTATGAGATTTACAAAGAAAGACTGATATGATCAAGCACAAAAAAAAAAAAAAAAAGGAACACTTAATGAGAAAAAAGAAACGAACAATTGAAAAGTTACATATTCACACTGTAGTCACAAACAGTCTAACTACAACATAATTTCGTCACATATTGAGATGGTACACTTTAAGTCAAAACATCAAAATTAATGAAGAAAAGAAGCAATTTATAAAGGACAGCTAGATATCAATTTACCGGAACACTTCACAAAGGCATTGTGCATCATCTATGAATAATTGATTCACAATCAGTTCAATCAATCCGCTTGTAGAGACTATATGTTTCATGGGAACTTCATGGCAAGCCAGGTTTCCAATAATTCCAATGTTAACCTCCTGGAGCAACAAAAGACAAATTATAGCTAGAGGCGCAAAATCATTAATTGCATTTAGTTACTGGTGCATCCACATTTTCTAAATAACAACATAGAAAATAACACAAGGGAAAATAAACAAAAAATAGGGTGTAAATTTTGATTCAATATCCAAGAGGATCTTTGCAATAGAAGCAAATTTGCTTACAGTAGCCCGCACAGATTGCTGAAGCATAAGATTTGCTGAAAGCACTTCAAGCAGGAGGTTTTCCACCTGCACAATGTTAAATCTGAATCAGTACACCTTATGCTACAAATAACATTGGAGAAGTTTGACGAATTTTGACATCATTACATATCTGAGCAAGTTACAATTATACTCTGAAAATTTTCATTCAGTTAAGAGAGCCCTTGTGTTAGATATTGTTTCTAAATAGTAGCTTGATTGATGTTAATGGATTTTTTCTCGCACTCTATAAGAAAAAGGCAACAAGAGAGGAGCGCATTTCAACAAGGAAAACGTAGAATCCATATGTAAGAACATAAAACAAAACTATTATCATTTTAAAATAAGATAAATAAACTAAAAAAGAAAAATCTGTATACCATCAGCTCTGCATGAGTTTTACTAGCAGCCAGATCCCACAAAACGCAACCATTCTCTTCCCAGGCTTCTTCTCTCACCGACATATCATGACCAGGTTGCTCAACTCCCTCACAATATGTTTCATCATTCACTCTTTCTCCATGAGCAAGTTCATGAGAATCTTCGACAAGGTCCATGCTCTCCGATACATTTTCCGACAAATGCGTTACTCCGTCTCTAGATATAGAAGCCACACTCTCTCCAGAGTTTTTAGTTTGTAGCTCTTGCTCACCAGTCAAATTGGTCGGTAACAGTTTCCGGATCAGAGAGATGACATAACTAGGATCCACGGTCGTTGAGATGTCGAATAGCTGAAAGAACATGACAGGTTACAGAAGAATCAACAATTCAACCATATAAAGACATGTGTCACTTTTTAGATAACTTTTCACACCCCTTTCTTAAATTTTATACAGGTGAATGCACAAAATTGTAAGTCCTTGTATTCTTTGTTACTCCAGTAAACACGAATGCACGAATCTGAAAAATCAAATGATGAAAATATTTAATTGACACAATTCTTTTGCTCTTAATGTTTAAAAAAATAAATTAGCTAGTTAAAAATTTGTTGTATTTGTATCAACAACGAGTCGTACCATTTCCTTTCCCTGCCTCTAGGCGAGGTGTATGAGGAGGATACGTACTATCCTCACCTCACTGACTAAACCAGTAAATATTTTCTCATTCTTTTTCTTTTTTTTTTTCCCCTTTTGGTGTTCTCTCTCACTATTCCAATATTGGGTTCCACTTTTTCAACTAGACCAAATGCTGAAAATAAGTAAAATTCAAAACGTTAAGAACCCATAAAGACTACCCAAAGTAAGACAAAGACTGAGGTTTTGTATGGAAATGCAGGGTTGTAATTGCTAATTGGAACTCATGTTTTTCTCTTTTTTGTTTTCTTTTTGGTTTTCGACCAAATGCTGAAACTAAGTGAAAAATTCAAAATTCTAAAAACCCAGAAAGAGCTTAGCTGTATAACACAGAATAAACCATGGACAAATTAGAGAAAAAGAAAAACACCCCATGAAATGAAATGAAAAGAGAGGAGTTGGCGGTTGATTGTTTGCTTGTTACCTCGTCGGAAGGAGCAGAAGGGTGATGAAAGGGGCCGTCCTTAAACTCAAATTGCCCTTCTTGCTCTTCTACGTCTTCTTCTTCTTCTTCCAGAGTGGTCGGTACCTGGTTGAGTGCCATATCTTGCCTACGGTTTCCCCTCCCCACTGCTCCCTTTCTAAACGGATTTTTTAAGTCAATAGGCCCCAATGTACACCCATTTAATTCGTAGACCCGTTATAAATAGAATTTTCATTTTCATTTTTTTATTCTTGGGATAAGAGTAAATGATCAAAATATCCTTAAAAATTATGCCCGATCAGATCTTTCTTACTGGAAAGACCGGTTGGCAATTTTCTTACAGGGCACACCAGTAAGAACTTTCTGACCGGACTCAGGTTTCTTACCGCTCCCACCAGCCAGAACGGAAAGAAATGACAGACGTGAGTTTCTTCAATTTTGCAGATTACTCAACTCTGAAGAGGTCATGAAATAGCATGATTCTTGTTGGTTTTTCAAATAAAATACCAAACCACGATTACCTGGCATTCAAACAATGAATTAAGCATAAAAAATACAAGATTTGAGAGAATAATGCTCGGACTGTTAATCACCATGGATGCCGGCGATTGTCGACGTCGGTAGGGGCATTCTCCGGCGGTGAAAGGCGGCGCCGCCGGTGAACTTTGGCCGGCAACGTTTCCTCATGACTGCCCAGCGAAGGAGGGGATTTAGCTCCTCCTCCTTTTCAAACGTTTTTTCTTTTAATTTGAGAGAAAAGGAGAAGGGCATTTAGGGAATACATATTTTTTCATTTAATGAAAGGCCTACTCATTGAAACTTTCTATTTTGGAGCCTACTCATTAAACACATTACACATTTTAAGCCTATTTTTCAAAAGGACCCTTTCTAAACCTTCTTCTCCCACTTCTTTTTCCTTTTACTTTACGGTTTATTCTTAAAATAAAAATAAGGATTACTGGTTTTGTTATGAGACATTCAATTCGTGGATTAGAATCATGTGATTAAAATTATTTTTAATTTATGTGTATTTTTTATGAGAGAAAATACTATAACGAATCATTAACTATGATTCAAATCATGGTTTGAATCATCCAACCAAATCTAATATCTTTTTACTGTAACAAAACTTAAATTAGTAAAATGAACGGAACCTTTATGTTAAAGTTTTTAAATATAACAAAAAAAAAATTAGATGTAACATTTTTATGAGAATTTTTAACTATAACAAAATTAGAAGTGTAAACTCAAACGGATAATAAGACTTTTAAAATTTAATCATATGTATTTATAATAATTAAATTTTTATTTAACAATCACATTACATACACAAGGTATTTCTTATGGTAAAAAAAGCTTCAAATTAATATGGGTTTTAAAATAAATAAGAGAGAAGTAAAGAAATAACATTTTATAAAAAACTAACTATTTCCCTAGTTATGATACAATAGAAACCTGGTTGTGTAAAAAAAAATAAAAATTAGTTGATTAATTTGTTAAAATTAAAAGTTTAAAAGAGTCAAAAGTTTTTTTTATGGGATTGTCATGTGTCAATTTTTTCATTTAGCTCTTTTTTCTCTTCTTTTTCTTTTTTATTTTTATTTTCTATGAATTTTTTTATATTTTAATTTTGTTATTTAAAAAAAATATGTTATTTGTCACTTCATTCTTATGAGAATAATTTTTCGCATGTGTTATTATTTTATTTGTAATTAGTTAAAATAATTTTCTTTGAATGTGTCTTTACTTAATTTTTTTGCCAATTATTATTTTTATACATATTTTTTAAATAAATATAAATAAATTTTTTATTTTTAAATAAATAATAAACTCTTAGGGCATGTTCTTTTAGAGTGTAACTTGAGTGTAGTTTTTGAGTTGAATTTGAGTTATAACTTGAGTTGAAGTTAGGGTTGTTCTTTTGTCTAAAAAACTCAAAAAAAGACAACTCGAATTTCAATTTTATTCAAGTTCATGTTCTTTTAAGTTCCAACTTTATTCAAGTTCAAAAACTACACTCAAGTTACACTTCAAAAGAACAACCATGTTGTAACTTGAATAAAGTTGAGTAAAATTGAATAAAATTAGAACTTAAAAGAACGTAAATTTGAATAAAATTATAACTTGAGTTTAAATTTTTTTTAAATTTTATTGTAAAAAAACAACCCCTTAATATTTTAAACACAACAATACGTTACAAAACTAGTAAAACTAAAAAACAAACAAAAAGCTTCCAAAATCCATTGAGTGGTAGTACTAGCCACTAGGTACAGCTTGCCTTAATGTAAAAATATATATATATATAATTAATGGATTATAAATTTTTGGAACATTTGTCCCATTTCAAAAAAAAAAATTTTTGAATAAATAAATGGGCCTTGTCTAGTGAGATAATTAATGGATTATAAATTTTTGGAACATTTGTCCCATTTCAAAAAAAAAAAATTTTGAATAAATAAATGGGCCTTGTCTAGTGAGACTTTGGTGCATAGGTGTCAAATGGGCCGAGCCGTCCATGGACGGCCCGGCCCAGCCCGTAATAGTACATGATTCGGCACGGCCCAGTTCGTTACTGTTACGGGCCGGGCCGGCACGGCACGTGTAATGGACTAGGGCTGGGCTTCAACTTCTCAGCCCGCGGCCTAAGCACGTGGAGGCCCGCGGCCCGGCCCTTATTCGGCCCGGCCCAAGCCTGTGAAAACGGCCCACGAAAAGCCCATTTCATTTGGTCCAGTGGACCCTTCGCAGGCCCAACGTTCGGCACGTGACGGGCCTCCCGTTTGGCCTGTGCGTCCAGTTTGGCCCTGATGGGCCAAACGGGAGGCCCGTCACGTGCCGCACGTTGGGCCCGTGAGGGCCCAACGGAAAAAAACCAAATTTTCACCCAAAAATCCCCTATAAATACCCCTTAATTCCACCATAAATCCCACACAACAATTCACTCTCATCTTCTCATCTCACTCTCATTCTATCTCTCAACTTCTCTCTTTGATTTTGATTCTAAGCTTTTTTCTCGTGTTCATTCATTTTCTAGCTCTTTCATTTACAAAGTTCAATCAAGTTCTATCAATTTCCAGAAACTTCCTGAGCTTCATGAGGAGACATTTTTTGAGGAAGAAATGATGCCTTCCAACCCCACCCCCACTGAACCAGAAAATGCTCCGGTGGATAATGCTTCAGTATACAACGAAGAAGCTAGAGAACACAGCAGAGAAAAAAGACCGTTCATCTGGATAGACATTGAGGAAAAAATTTCCCTGATTTCACTGCTCTTCCTGACCGCGAACTTCTCCGGCATGGCAGCATTTCAC